AGTGGTCCCTAAATCCAGCCCACACTCGAGGGGGTAAAGAATAGGAAGTGGGGATACGGGAAGGGAGGGGGTCCTGCAGGCTGCCTAGCACATACAATCTATAAAAATATAAATATGTATCATATAAATCTACCAAACTTACTAGCTGTTGTTATTATATGCACTGAACTTTCCCATTTCTTCCCCTGTATCTGCAAAGTACAGACTTTCTGTTTTGTTTGTTTTCTGGAGATGGAGACTTCCTGCCCATTAATGAATATCTAGTATTTATCCTATTTTGTTTGTTTATAGCCAGTTTCATCAGTTATTTAAATTTTGTTGTTGTTGTGGGTTTCAGGAACCTTAACAGAATCCTGAACTGGGATGAAGCATTTTTCATCATTTTACGTGGTCATTTGCGTGGTCAGTAGAGTGTGGGTGTACTATGTAAGACCACGAATGCAATCAGATTTACCCAAACCAAAATGATGGGACAGAAGCACTACTTATTGTCGATATCAACTACATGTATTACATGCACTGACTTTACAGCCTTCCTGCCAAGATTCCTTTGTTTCTAAAATAACTGTTGCCCAATTTCTGGGCCTTTTTCCTTTTGCTCTAATTCCCTTCAGATCACTTCAATACACTGGCTTTTTGTTCCACTTACTACACTCCTTGTATATGCTCAAACTACTTTCTTCTCTAGAATTCTGTCCTCTACTTCTTTATACCTGACTCAGTTTTTGAAACTTTTTTTTTTTAGAAATTATTATTATTATTATTATTTTAAGATTTTATTTATTTGACAGAGACACAGCAAGAGAGGGAACACAAGCAGGGGGAGTGGGAGAGGGAGAAGCAGACTCCCCGCCGAGCAGGGAGCCCGATGCGGGGCTCGATCCCAGGACCCTGGGATCATGACCTGAGCCGAAGGCAGATGCTTAACGACTGAGCCACCCAGGCACCCCAGTTTTTGAAACTTTTTTTTTTTTTAAAGATTTTATTTATTCATTTGAGACACAGAGATACAGAGAGAGAGAGAGCATGAGCAGGGAGAGAGACAGAGGGAGAAGGAGAAGCAGGCTCCCTGCTGAGCCAGGAGCCCGATGCGGGGCTCGATCCCAGGACCCTGGGATCATGACCTGAGCCGAAGGCAGATGCTTAACCATCTGAGCCACCCAGGCGCTCCCAGTTTTTGAAACTTTTAAAAAAGATTTTATTTGAGAGACAGTGCGCGCACGAACAGGGGGAGGGGCAGAGGGAGAGGGAGAAGCAGACTCCTGGGGGAGCGGGGAGCCCAATGTGGGCTCGATGCAGGGCTTGATCCCAGGACCCTGGGATCTTGACCTGAGCCGAAGGCAGATAACTAACCGACTGAGCCACCCAGGCGCCCCAGTTTTTGAAAGTTTCTACGTGGAAACTGCAAGTTACAATTTTAAGTCATCATCTCAACTCAATTCGAATGACCAAATTTTGACTTTTTAGTGCTAATCATAATATTAGCCAGAGATGAGTAAGACCTTACCTCTGCAATCAAGGAACTTGGTCTAATAGGGAATAGAGACATGCAAATGAGTATAATAGAGTTGATGACATGATTATAAAAATAAAAAGGTAGCTCAGTAGAGAGAATGATAAGCTCTTTAGAAGCAGGGGGGCACCTGGCTGGCTCAATCAGTAGAGCATGTGGCTTGATCTCGGGGTGGTGAGTTCAAGCCCCACCGTTGGGTGCAGAGCATACTTTAAAACAAAACAAAAACGGGGGCACCTGGGTGACTCAGTTGGTTAAGCATCTGCCTTGGGCTCAGATTGTGATCCCAGGGTCCTGGGATCGAGTCCCACTTTGGGCTCCCCTGCTCAGTGGGGAGCCTGCTTCTCCCCCTCCCTCTGCGGCTCCCCCCACCAACGCCCCCGCTCATGCTCTCACTCTCTCTCTGAAATAAAATATTTAAAAAACAAAAAAAAAAAAAACAAAAAAAAAAAGAAAAAGAAAAAAAACTCTTAGAAGCAGAGGAGACCAGGAAAGGTTTGTGGGAAGAGACAGCATTTAACCTGGGTTTTTGTTTTTTTTTTTTAAGATTTTATTTATTTATTTGACAGAGACAGACACAGTGAGAGAGGGAACACAAGCAGTGGGAGTGAGAGAGGGAGAAGCAGGCTTCCCGCCGAGCAGGGAGCCCGATGCGGGGCTCGATCCCAGGACCCTGGGATCATGACCTGAGCTGAAGGCAGACGCTTAACGACTGAGCCACCCAGGCACCCCTCTAACGTGGGTTTTGATGTACCTATGAGCATTTATTTACTGGAATTGGGAAAAGATGTGTCAGAAAGGAAGGAACACAAAGTACAAACTACAGAGGCACGAAGGGAGATACAGCAAGTCTGGGCTACTAAGAAGTGGGAAGTTGTCTGATGACATATGTTTGCTAGCTTCTAACTCCTACACTGAGTCCATCTTTTAACTTTGGCTGTTACTAGTTTATTGCTTCATTCCTCTACACACACAGCTCTCTGCCTTTTCTCCTTCCCCACCTCGTATAATCCTCCTGCCTTCTTGCTTTCCTTTTATGGGAATTTTTTTTTCGCGTTTAGACCCTGGATTTAATTTAGTTAGATTGGACTGGAGTAATAACATTTCTGTACATTTGCCCAGAGGCCTTCAGCTAATGGGTGTATTCTTTACAGGCCAATAAACAGACGAATAGGACCTGCGAGCCAGTGCTGTCTTGCATGTCTGCCTCCCTTCTGTTTCCTTGCACTTTATACCCATCTTCCATTGACTGGAGACCTTTTGGAAAACTAAAAATTTTCCTAGGTAACTCAAACATTTCCTTGCATGCACTAAGCGGCTTCTGCACCTGCCAGTTGGTTTCATGGAGGATCTTCCTGTTGCCGGAGAACCTGCTCTCTACCTACCCACAGGAGATCAGCCTGTGTTGGATGCAGGCACGCACCGCTGCCCTGAGAGTACCTTCCCCAGTGTCAGTGAGAACCTCAGAAAATTATAGTCTCAGGGCTCTGGATGGCTGTTGCTCATTTCTGACCACTGGTGCTGATCATGACGCCATGTACTTCAATGATAAATGTCGGAATAGAAAGGCTGACCAAATCACCTTGAGAAAAGGAAATCTGAGGTTCTCCAAACCTGAGGTTCCAAGCCTGGGCTCTGAAAACAAGTGGGGAACAATGCTAGAATAAAGGGGGCACCATAGCCACAAGGAAGAAAAAAATTCAGACTACTTTAAAACCAACTGCATTCTTGAATGCCTATAAGCCCAGCATGAACGGATGACGGTTTCTGCTCTCACCAGTGCTTGCTGGATTTCCTCTCCTTTCCTTCTAAGCTGCTGCTGCCTGCCTGCCTGCCTTCTCCCTCTGCCTTACTCTGAACATTCTGTTCCATTTTCACTGCCCAGCTTCAGACTCCCTCCTAGGACCCCAGGAGAGCACCCCCTCCTACTGCCTGGGGAGACTTTCCTATGCTATGGTCTTGAGCTGGGCCAGCACGTTGAGGTCATTGCTCTCCCTGCCAAATGATTGGCCTGAGTTCAGTTTGTCCATCTGCCTGAGCTTCATGGAAAACATGATTGTTGTTCTAAGCTCTCTATTCTATGTTCTGCCTTAGCTCTGCTTTGCATCTGGCTTTTGTTTCTTTCCCCACCCCCACCTCCCTGTCTTTCCTTTCCCTGACTCTCACAGACTAGAATCACATCTGTTTTCCACCTCTGCACTCTCGCTGCAGAGCAGATGGGCGAAGAGCAAGTTCTCGGCCAGGCAGATGAGAAAGAGCTGGGTTTGGTACTCAGCTTTGTTCTAGAGACTGACCAGAATCCATGGATCTTAGAGATGGAACATGTATTGATCACTCCTTGGGCAGAGCCAAAGGTGCTGTTTCCTTATTTCTGATTATGTCCATTGCTCTCCCTTCCTCCCAGCTAACTAGCTTCCTTCCTTCCTCTCTTTCCCTCCTTCCCTTCTTTTTCTTACTCTTTTTCCTTTTCTAGTCTGTACTCTATTAAACATGATCTGCTCTGTCTACCTGTATTCTCCTCTAATTTAGCTCCTCAGGGAGATATACAATGTAGACTCAAGGAGCTAACAGAGAACGTGAAACTTACACACCAGTAAATGCACATCAGGTCAATGATTCCTCAGATTTGCGTTTCTGTAATTTAAATTTATTCCCTTCAAAGTGGAAATATTAAAAAAAAAAAAAAGTGGAAATATTTTTACCAGTCTAACCACTAGGTTTCAGTGAGTAAGAGCAAATACAAAGACTTTAAAACTTCTGGATCAGAGAAAGTGTTATCTACATATTACATGATGTGGGGGAAAGTACTGTTGGAAAATAACGCAAGCAAGGTGAGCTTGGCTCCCCATTTTCTTTAGACTTCTAATGGCATTTTGTCCTGAACATTCCAGAAACCAAGATTCTGAGCATAAACCTAAGCAAAGCCAAAAGACAGAAGAAGGCTGACATGTCTTCTCACAGAGCTCCTCCACATTTCAAAAGGATTCAGAGGGTACTATATTTTTCAACTTTTTCTAACAGCCAAGCCTCCTCTTGAACAAAATTCATGTGGTGTCTGTGTGTCTCTGAATATGGAATAAATAGGATTGGGATGAGGAGGACCACATTCTTAAAGAAATCCTCAAGAAAGAGGAAAAAAGAGAGACAAATACAGGGATATAAAGGAATTTGTTGGTGTTGAAGAGACAAATGTCGAAAAAGTGAGAGAAGATGGAAGAATGATTCAAACTTGGAAGATGGCCACAGAAGGGGCAGACTGTCCAAAGATGAGATGGAGCTATTTAGGTAAGAAGGAACCCAAGGCAGAGGTGGGCTGGGGGCTGGGGCCATGTTCCAAGAGGGAAAAGAAGCTCATGGAAGAAAGGCGTTTGTGAGCGGGAGCCAGGCCTCCCAGGGAATAGCAGTACCACTCACTGGTGTGGTCATAACCTTTGGAATGAGGGTGTGAGTGACTGTAAATCCCCAGCCCCTTCTCATTCCCGCCTCATCACACTCCTCTAGCCTTGCTTTCTCTCTCGCTCTCTCTCGCTCTCCCTCATCTCGTTGTTTCAGAGTACAGCCAAATTTGAAGTCCTTCCCAGGGAGTGGCCCTGTTCATCCTATTCTCCAGCCAAAGTAGAAACAGCGTGAGAAGGAGAGAGGCACATTCAGCAGCCAAAGGACTCGGTGGAAAGAGCAGAGGAAAAATACACAGTGAGTTCTCTGATTGTACAAAACCCTAGACAGACAGAGTGTGTGTGTGTGAGTGTGTGTTGAAACTGAAAGCCAGAGGGGGGCAATGGGGAATGTCACTGACTTGGAATTGAGCGAATATCCCATTTATCCATGAAATTAGACAGACAAGATACCACCAAGATAAGCAGAGGAAATTAAAAGGCCAGATACCAAAAAGGAAGATCAGACACTGGGGGTGAAAGTGGCCACAGAATAGGGGCAAACACGCACCATTTAGACTATATAGTTTCCTCTGACTTGGCAGAAAAAAGGAATGCGAATGAGAATAACGGTGAGGGATCAAAAAGAAGTGAATCTGAAGGAGAAACAAATGATGGGTGAAAAGAGAAAAGGGCTGGTGTCACACGGGGACCAGGAAAAGCCCTGGACAGACGAAGAGACAGGGGCCCTAGAGGTATGCGTGCTTGGACTTCAATGCTGATGTGTCCCGAGCATTACAGCCTCCACTCTCCCAACAGCCGTTAGATATGCTGCTCTTGGGACCCAGGGTGCTGCTGTTCCTGACCGCACTCATCCTCCCCTCCGGTGAGTCCCGACCTTTCATCTTTCCTCCCTACGGTGCCTGCTCCTGGGTGCGCATGGCCGTGGACGTTACTGGAGGGCGGGATGCGGAAGGGGACCAGGAGCAGAGGTGCTTGCTACGGAGTTCTAGAGTCGCTATTAAAGGACAGATTTGTGTCTGAAAAGCAAGGGCTGGGATGAGACCATCAGACTCGGGAAGTAACTGGAGAGTTATGAATATAAGATCCACACAAATAAATGCCTATTAACCCCAAACGAGGGTCACACACACAAAAATGTACGAGCAAACAGAAGACAGAGAAGCTGATACACAAATGCCTTCTCAACCATATGGAGACAGCTAGTAAGAAACTGGACCAAATGCAATGCATGACGGGGAACAGTGGGACTATATACACTCACACCTACCCCACACTAGCTCCAGCATACACACAAATGTATTCACAGGCACACAAACCTGTGCCAAGCTATATGCTCAAGAAAAGCCATCACAGACGTCACAGAACAGAGCTGAAAGCCTCGCCACAGAAAGTGAATCTCGGGACTTTGAAGAAATCCTGCTCTATTTTCTCATTCTGCCAGATACACACTGTGAGAAAATCGTGTTGTGCCTTGTTCGGAGTGTAGCTAGTACGATGGCTGTGGGGCTGGGATGGGACACATTAGAAGGCTGCTGGGCCCTACAGCTGAACAGGACCCCACTCCTTCTGCTAGGGGATGAGGGGGAAGGGCATCCCGAGTCGGGGCTTGCCAAAGCAGGGCTTTATTCTCAGGAACTTATTTTTCCTGAGTGTCTCCATGTCAGCACTAATGGTCTGAGTAATTTTGTATTGGACTGTATAGAAAGAAAACGCAGAAAAATAAAGTACAACCATTTTCCCATCATTTTCTGGTTCATCTTATAAGAGCTTTATGGGGTGTACAGCTGGAGTCATTGATCCCTCTTCTCTGTCCTTTGGTACAGACTGGACACCACTAGGAGTCGGTGGTCAACGAGGAGGTAGGTAAACCTTTGGAGCTGGGCTCTTCTGTGGTTTTTTTAAAAATATACATTTAAGTAATCTCTACCCCCAGTGTGGGGCTCCAACTCAAGACCCCATGATTCAAGAGTCATATGCTCTTCCAACTGAGACAGCCAGGCACCCTATCTGCTGGGGTTATCAAGATAATGTAGATGGGGGGCGCCTGGGTGGCTCAGTTGGTTAAGCGACTGCCTTCGGCTCAGGTCATGATCCTGGAGTCCCTGGATCGAGTCCCACATCGGGCTCCCTGCTCGGCGGGGAGTCTGCTTCTCCCTCTGACCCTCCCCCCTCTCATGCTCTTTCTCTCTCTCATTCTCTCTCTCAAATAAAAAAAAAAAAAGATAATGTAGATGGTCAGAGTTAAAGAATATTGATGAATGGTCAGAGTTAAAGAATACTGATGAATGGTCAGAGTTAAAGAACCTGTAATATAACAGAGAGACACATTGCCAAAGTGTGGAAAATAGGATCTAACTCACCAGTTTCCACAATCCTATTATCCTGTTCACAAAATCTTCTTACTTTTTAACAACTGAAATACCTTGTCCCAACCCTCCTCTATGGCCCATCTCTTATTTCCACTCTCCTATATACGGCTCTTATCTCACTCAGAAAATGCCACTAATCCTAACAGGGCTTTTTCCTATCCATGTAACAATGGAGAAGCTAACATGCAGACAGAATAAAAAGTCAGCTCAGTACTGCAGCGAAATTCTGGCACTAAATGGACAGAACCCAAAAGTTTTGGCTTCCAAGCAGCCACTTCCTCCAGTTCAATGATGGAAACTCCAATCAAACATCTCCACTCTGCCTCCAGACATTCAACCTTATGACAATTCATCTCTTACTTTTCCCAACCCTTGAGAGCACATTAATGGACCATAAAATCAAATTAGCAGATCACAATGGTTAATTTTTAATGAATTAGTACAGACTAAAATAAAAATGGAGTACACTGCAAGAGTAAAGCATTATCTTTTTAAACTTGTTTCAATTTTCTATGTGTGCATTGGGGCACAATGTAATTTCTTGCTGTGCATCCTGGTACAGAAGATAAAAATATAGAAACACAATTTTTTTTTTTAATCTGCTGTGGCTAAAGTGGTCTGAATCCCGAACTTTCTGAATCTACATCAGAGTTCAGCATTAGCAAAAAAAATTTTGCATTCGTTTCTCTAGGCTGGTTAAGGTCTAGTCCTTGTCTACAAGTTTGGGATGGTTTCCTAGCAGAAATGTGATATTAAAATGACTACTTAAGGGGCACCTGGGTGGCTCAGTCGGTTAAGCGTCTGCCTTTGGCTCAGGTCATGATCTCGGGGTCCTGGGATAGAGCCCCGCATGGGGCTCTCTGCTCAGCAGGGGAGCCTGCTTCTCCCTCTGCCCCCCACCCCCGCTTGTGCGCATACTCTGGGGTGCCCTCTCTCTAATAAATAAAATCTTAAAAAGAAATTGCCTACTTAAGATTTCTTTTCAGGGAAGATGAATCCTAGATAAGCATTTATACAGTGGTAGCTCATGGAAAAGGTGGATAATCCGAGGAATATACTGAAAACCAGTACTCTATCCAGAAATTCTGAGGTGACAGCAAGGACTCACTCTCAACCCCTCTGCTCTGCCCCTGGATCACTTGCATTTCTGTACTGGAATGCAGCTAGGGAGGAAGGGAACTGGAGGCACTGGGCTACACCCTGGAGAGGTTCCACGCCCCTCTTAACGGTTTTTGGAATGACTTGGGCTAGTGGTTTTTCCAACGTCCTGGGGGATGGGAACAGACTTGGATTTCTTTTACCAAAATTTCTTCTGAAATGCGAAAGCTAAATCTGATAACTTTCTACCTGGAATTTTTTTTTTTTAAAGAGGCTGATGTAAGCAGTTAGCAGGGGAGATTGCTTCAGAATATATTATTTGCGTTTTGCCTCTGCCACAATGATCCATAGCTCTGGCATGCTGTATAAAAATGCTATTTTCTCCAGACTAAACATGGCATTTAGATGCTGAAGTTTAAGGGAAAAGTTCAAAGCAAACTGAATTTGCTGACCCCTGGTGGGCGAACCAGATTATGACGATAAGTCATCTACAACAAAGGATAATTATAGATAGGATATTTATTAAATATTTAGATGTGAACACTGCATTGTTATTTTGCTTTTTATTTATTTTATTTATTTTATTTTTTTATTTTTTTATTTTTTAAAGATTTTATTTATTTATTTGACAGAGAGAAACACAGCGAGAGAGGGAACACAAGCAGGGGGAGTGGGAGAGGGAGAAGCAGGCTTCCCGCTGAGCAGAGAGCCTGATGTGGGGCTCGATCCCAGGACCCTGGGATCATGACCTGAGCCGAAGGCAGACGCTTAACGACTGAGCCACCCAGGCGCCCCTATTTTGCTTTTTAAAGCTGAGACAATTTGTTTCAGGTAGTGCTGTTATTTATAGTTTCAGATACAGTTTTCTTAGTGTATCTTAATAGATTCCACCTTAAGCCCTGGACCATTTATTTTTATTTCTCCTCTTGCCTTTACTTTCCAATGATCAACTGCAAGTATTCTCTACAAACATCCCCTCCCCTCTTCTCACCTCACTTCTGAGCATCAGAAAATCATCAACATCACCTTTGGTGAACATACTTTCATGTAAGCATATCAGCAAACTGATATCCAATTACTTCAAACCTGTCATTATCGAAATCAGTGTCTTTGGTAAAGACAGTTTTCACTTAAAATAAGTATTGCAAGGAAGTCATCAATCCATTGTACTGCCAACAAGCTGTATGACCTTGGGTAAATTATTTACTTGTCCGGTGCTCAATTGTATCATCTGTAAAAAACAGATTTTTTAAATAGTGCCTGGCATATAGTAAACCCAAATTAGCTATTATCGTATTATCTGGTAGGACAATGAAATATGTTATTCTTCTATTCCTAAACTTAAAAGTCTAACTGAAGAAGGGGATGCCTGTGGAGGATTATCTGATGGGCATATACGTAAAGGAGACAAAGGGAAAAGGATATTCTAGGCTAGGACAGTATGGGTATATTCATGGAAGTGGGAAACTGTGACATTGGGTTGTGGGGGAAAGGACTCAGGTTGGGAAGCAAACAATGAAAACCAATTGTGGGATACTTGCTACGTGTTGGCAACTGTGATAGACAGGTTTCACTCACTGGGAGTACAAGAATGGGAGGGGGACAGAGAATGCTCAAAAAATATGTTTCCTGGGGTGCCTGGGCAGCTCAGTTGGTTAAGCGTCTGCCTTCAGCTCAGGTCATGATCCAGGGATCCTGGGATCGAGCCCCAGATAAAAAGGTCCCTGCTCGGCGAGGAGTCTGCTTCTCCATCTCCCTCGGCCCCTCCCCCTGCTCTTGTTTTCTCTCTCATAAATGAATAAATAAAATTTTTAAAAAATTATTAAAAATGTTTTCTGCTTTTTTTTTTTATTCAGATGATGTGACTCCAGCGACTCCAGAACCATTCACAGAAGATCCTAGTAAGCTATCCTTTTTATTTCTTCGTTTTCAAACTGGGAATAGGATTGAGATGTCTGTACAAAGATAAATGAGGAGTAGAGAGACGTTAGTGGGCACTCTGAGCTCATGCAGACCCTAGCGTCTCGGATACCACTGATGCTGTGAACATGTTTTCTCTCCCACTTCCTTCCTGAAAGTCCCTTACAGGGGCCCAAGAGGCCATATCCTTTCACTTCAATCTTTCTTGCCTCCTTTTAGATCATCCCTTTATCCTGCTTCCCTTTCCCACTTTTCCTGCCTGTGTTTTTTTTATTCTTTGTGTTGTATCTTTGCAGATCTGGTGAACGAGCCCTCTACAGATGAAACAGGTAAGTTTTACTACCGCTTTTAAAATGGCATGATTGTTAATATCCATAATTATTTTTCCCAGCTTTTGAATTAATCCTGTATTTTTATCTAAGAAAGGGATAGAGGAATTGGGGGTATTTTGTCCAGTGACAGTGGGATAAAAAGAGAGTCCCCATTCCTCTAAAAAGATGAAACAAAGTGGATGAATAGCTAAAATAAGGCATGTATAATAAAGTATAATGTCAGTAGGCCAAATATTCTTCAAAAGGAAATTTCACAATTACTTAACAATTAACTCTATTCCCTTGGATATAATACACAAATCCAGCCATAGCCTTGACTTTGCCCCATACCGCCAAGCTCCCTTTTTTTCAGTCTTTATTTTTTATAATGGGGGAGGGGCAGAGAGAGAATCGGAAGCAGGCTCCAGGCCCAGTGCAGAGCCTGACCCGGGGTTTGATCTCAAGACCCTGAGATCATGACCTGAGCCAAAACCAAGAGTCAGATGCTTAACCACTTAACCGACTGAGCCGCCCAGGCGCCCCTTCATTCTTCCTTTTTCTCCTGTGCCTTCCCCCTTGCCAGTTCAAAGCCCTCCTCATACCTGCTGTTTTGTGCCTTTTCAGTTCTGGCTGATATCGAGCCTTCCACAGATGACCTGGGTGAGTTCAGATCTGCGATCCCAGGGCCACTGGGGCCACTTTGGGCTTTCCCCAGAGCCCATTACGGAAGGCAGTACAGCTGGTGAAGGATCCGACACAGAGAGGACTACAGTTTATGTAGCACATTCTTCCAACAGTTCAATTTAAATTAATGACATTTTTGTCCCCTAACAAGCAGGGGCTGTGCTGGGTGTTTGACGTACAAAATACCAACGTGTCATCTTTTCCTCAAAGTTTCCAAGCCTGGGTGGGTAAAGGCAAGACAAATATATAAACAGATCAATGTTTGGGAAGCTGAAGGGAAACTTCCTAGAAGTAATGGTTGAACCGATTCTCGAAAAAAGAATTGGAGCCAGTCAGGCAGTCAAAGAGGGAGCAGTATGTTCAAAGATTTGAACACAAAATAGAACTTGGCACATTGAGGAAAAAAATTTTTTTTTAATGAATAGGGCAAAATCTACAAGAAACGAGTGGTAGGATGTGAGAAAATGAGACAGAAATTAGATTTTGAAGAAATAGTTACTGAAAACCTACTACTGAGTACCAGGAATATAAAGATGAACAAAACTGACTTCCTTTTACTTGATATTTTTTGTCTAATCCACAAGATAAACAAATGGGTAACTTTATTCAGTTTTACAAAATGCCGTAATCAGGGTAAGTAACAGACACTAAAAAGAGTCCTGGAGTATTCAGTGCTGGGGCTTAAGAAAGGCTTCTGTGGAGGGCACACTAAGTTGCTTCTTGAACGACAAGTAGAAGTGAATCGAGTAACGAGGAAGAAGAGCTTTTGGGTAAAGAAAACACTATGCGAGAAGGCTTAGGACGGAAATAAAAACCCATCAGAATAGCTTAGACAAAGAAAGGTTCCCATCAGATTTGTGAATTGGAAATCCAGCCAGGATGCTATTGCCCTAGTCCCAATAAAAGATGATGGCCTGAACTCACTGAGGTGGAGGTAGGGAGAATTAAGTGTGAGCCGTGAAAGAGGACTGTTGAGATGAGGTCCAGTGTCCTGTTGTGTAGATGGTGGGACCATTCACTGAAGAACAGTTTGAATCAGTGAAGGGAAAGATAGGACAGTTTAAGATGTTAGATTTGAAGGATCTTGGAAAAATCCACAAACTCTTCCATAAAATGTCAGGTGGCTTTTCTAGAAGTCTGGAGCTTAGAAGAGATCTGGGCTGGAAGGAGAAGTCTGAGAATTCTCAGGATTTAAACCTGCAATTGAAACCAGGGGACAGATGAGATCACCTAGCATACTTCCCATAGTATTCTATCTATCGACAACTCTTCCAATGGCATTTTGACACATAACTCCCGTGGTTAGTGTCTTCCCAAGATTCATCTTACTCCTTGACTTATTCATTCTACAAGTTAGGCCCATATTTAACTTGACCTTAGATTAAGTTTGGCTATGGCTGTGACCTTTGCTATTCTTTGCTGAGTAACTTTTATCCAAGAACTCATGATGACATATTTGATTTACAAAGAAATTTTCTTTTATGAGTAAGAGCTTCTACAATCTTTTCTCCCTTAGCTGTAGGATGAATCTCTTCTGGGCATATGGCTCCTTGCCTTGTGTCCCTACTAAATTTGCTTCTTGTCAACAAAACAAAGACACAATGAAAATCAATTTTTCAATTTTAGAAGAGGAGAAAGGCAAAATCAGAATTCTTATCCTAAATTCCAAACCTCTCCAATTTTGTGGAACAGCCCATTGTGGGTTTTCTGTTAGAAGTTGCTAAAGCTTAGCAACTCATTTGTTTTTTATTTATAAGTGAGGCGACATGACAGTTGTAGAGGTGTGACTACTGGAACTGGTAATAACTGAATAAAATTTCTGCCTTCCAGCTTCTCCTACTGATAAAAATACCACAACAGGTATGATTGCATGTCTTCTTCCTCAGCCTTCTTCTTGGGGATTCACACCTCCTTATTTTTGGAGGATACTTGGTATACCTTCTAGTTTGCTTCCAGTTCTTTCTCAAAGAATATTTTTAGTGCTCTTCATTCCTACTCTTTTTTTATGAGCTCCTATCTTCAATCTCATGGGGAAAAGATGGGACCACTGTTGGATGATCCTGAAAGAATCCTCTTCCTAAACTAGATTCGGACTTTCTGTGGTGGTTAGTGAGTTGGGAAGTAACTGCAAGGACCCAATATTACTTGAGTTGTCATGGCCAAAGTTGCTCTCTCTATTGTACTGATTCTGATGTGCATCTAGGACTGGAAACTGCTAAAATAGAAACTATTACCCACCTAAGAATTCTGATTCTTTAGAATGGGGTTAAAAGCACCTCAATTTTATATTTCATACGGCCACCTGGAGAACCCTAGAAAGACTTTCCTAGAAGAACCCTCAAAGATTATTTTATCAACTTCTGCTTCCAGGTAGGAAAGCACCTAAATTTTATTTCAGCCAATTTCCTACCGTTCTCTTTTGGTAAACAGGGAGGGCATTCCCCAAACTGCAATGATTCTGTGTAGAGACTACTTTGTATTTTTTCCCCATTTTATCTACCTTCTTCCATCTCTTGAATCCTTTGTTTATCCCTGTTTTCTGTGTTTGACTTCTTCAGATTGCCGGGATGAAAAATTCGCTTGCACGAGACTCTACTCTGTGCATCGACCAGTCAAGCAATGCATTCATCAGTTATGTTTCACAAGGTAAGGGATCCCAGGATATGCAGAAAGCATCATCCATGGTCGTATTTTCATGTCAGTAACTGTTTAATGAGCACCCATCATGGGATTTCAGTTTTTGGTGGCACAGAAGTTCTTAACATGATCCTCCTAGCTATTCCTGCTGGTGCCAGATAGAACCTGGAGTCTGAATTGAGGTATATGGAGAACAGACTGACCAATAAGACTAGATGCCAGAAGGCAAGTGAGATCAGGGCTGGGGAAGGGACAGTCATGAGAGAAATACTGGCACAGTGAACCTATTACCTCATAGAAAAAGGCTGAAGCATAAGATCCAACTCTAAAGGTAGAAAATAGTGGGGAGGAGTATTAAACTTGACTCTAGGTGGAGTGTGTAAAGTATCACTAAGAATAATACCATTCCATTCCCTGCACTCCTCTGGGAGGGAAAAAAGTGATCCAAAATAATTAAGGAAATCCAGAGAGGAGGAGAACAGATAGGGAGAGTGGGGAATACAGGAGTTGAGCAGGCACCCTTGGCCTAGTCTAGTTCTCCCCCACAATGCTTTGTTCTATCTCCTTCCTTAACCATGTTACTGGGACTATGGCAGTTTACGACGTATGTACATCATCAACAATGAGATCTGCTCTCGTCTTGTCTGTAAAGAACACGAAGTTATGAAAGGTAAGATGATGTCTGGGTTTTAGTGGGGAGGGGCAGTTATGAGAGAGGTGAGTAGAAACATGGTCCTAATGGATCCAAGGTCTGGCTTCTGAGGACGGCTTTAGGCCACCTCCTTAAACCTCATCAATCCCTGCTCCACCCAGTTATGCTAAATAAGCAATCTAAGTAAAGAAGTATGCTTAATATATAAGAAAAGTATGCTTGGGTCTCTTTCCAGCTAGGTTGTAACCCCCAACCTCTCCTATACATAGAGCTTTCTGGCTCAGTCTGGGGAGCAAGCAACTCTTGATCTTGGGTTCATGAGTTTGAGCCACTCATTGGTTATAGAGATTACTGAAAAAAAATGAAAACTTAAAAAAAGGCCAAGTCAGCCATTACAAACAATAGACTAATAGTTGGAAGCCATGTTCATAAAGGAAAAACTTTGTAAAAAAAAAAAAAAAATCCACTAATTTGGAGACACTGATGTCTATATAGAGCCTATAAGTAAATAAAAAAAAACAAACTGGATATTTAGAAGTTGGCAACATTTAAACAGTCTACCAATGCCAGGAACCATTTAAATTACTTATTGTGAAAATTTAGAAGTAAACAAGGGTAGAAAACCTTTATAAAAACGATTACAAGGGTCCAAAGTGTGTGGTTATAAACCGTGCATTGTGGGAACAAAGATACTTCTCACCTCCCCTATGGCCAGCCCCAAACGATAAGTGTGGTTGGTGAAGGAACCACAGACACAGCCCCTTCTGACTCAGCAGCCCATCTTGCACTGAGCTCCTGAGTAAGAGCTGTAGTTAACTTCGCAGAAGGAAACTTGCTACTTGCCCCCATTGGCGTTGTGCAAGCCACCTGCAAGGGAAGCACCTTGAGACTGAGGATGAGTATTTGGGACTCTAGGCACTTTCAAATGTCTCAGGGGACTTACTAAAATTAGCTATTTGCACACAGTAAACACTTAAATATATTGTGAATGATTGAATCTCTTTTTTTTTTTTTTTGCTATTAATAAATCCATGATTATAAGAATTGGGAGCTAGGTATACAGAGGAACCTAAAATTTACTGGCCACCTGTGCTAGGTACTTTGCATACATTATTTCATTTTAATACTCACAACTACACTGTTGAGGCAGGTATTTCATGCTTATTATACTGGAAGGGACAGTGAGGTTCAGCAAAGTTAAGAAACTTTCTAGTAAGTAAGAAATAACCAGTGAGCTGCACATCTGGGGTTCTAGCCCAGATCTATTTCTCTTCAGTCTTTCACTACAGCACCCTAGGGTCTTCTCTTTCTCTTTAAACAGGATTCTTTGTTATTTTTTTGCAGTCCCACCCCATTATGCTCTGCTTCTCTTCTAGATGAACTTTGCCGTCAGATGGCTGGTTTACCCCCAAGGCGACTCCGTCGCTCCAACTACTTCCGACTTCCTCCATGTGAAAATGTGAATTTGCAGAGACCCAGTGGTCTGTGATCATCAAGGAAGAGGAAAGAAGAATGCGTGGGTGGGTGGAAGAGAATGCTCTAACAAGAGGGAACTCCTTCTTGTCCAACCAATGTCCACTAACCCACAGACAGTAGTATTTCTTAAAACAATCCCTTTGCAGTGTCTAGCTTTTGCTTCCACTCCCTGATTTTCCATCCAGACTGATAACATAAAGTCTATATTATTGCATGGTTTTGCTGCTTCTCAATATCATAGACATAGATTAATGATAACCATGTGGCTTATATATAAGCACTCTACATACAATTTCAAAGGAAAATAAACCTTGGGTTAATATTTACCACCGAATCTGTCTGAAATAAATCTTAGGGTGGAAGAAGTTGTTGCTGTCCATTTTGGCTAGCCATTTTTTTGATTTTCAAGAGTTTCCTAGATTAACGCCTCATTCATTTACATAGCACTCTTTACTCTTATTTTAACTATTTTCTGGATTTGCCTGCTCAGATCTTCTTTGAGAAGAGTCATGGTAATTTTTGTAGTCCTAGACAATTCTCCAGAACCAAGAGTTACACAGTCGTACTGGCAATATATAAAGACCCAAGATGAGGTCTGTTAAGTTTAGAGGCTGAGGATAGAGAGAGAGGAGTAGGCTATGTATGGAACTGGGACTCATTGGTTCCCTATTCACTTTTTCATGCAGTTGTCCAATTGGCAAGTAGGGGTACAAAGTCCCATTTACCTATTTTTGGTCATATGGGGGTTGCCCACCCTCGCAAATTAGATAATTTCATGTGAAATAATTTCTGACTTTGGTCAGAGTTTCCTTGATTTGTGCTACTTCTTTCATTCTCATCACTAAACAAAATCTGTAGAGATTACCGTGCAAATGGACTCTGGAATAGCCTGATTTGGGGCTTAAGAAGGGCATTCAGACCTAAATTTTAATAAGCAGACCAAGTTTACCTATGGGTTTATAAGAAAGAGTAAAACACAATATTCAGACAACCTACATTCTTATCCTGGCTCTAGCAGTAACTAGGTAAACCAGTAAGCCAGGTCTAATTTCCCATCTCTAACACGACAAGGTTAAATTTATGTTGGTTCTAAGGTATCTTTTCATTCTGTGATTCTTAAGATTTAAATGCATTATTTGAATTTCTTGAAGCCTAGATGCACTCTTAATTTATAACCACCATGTGTACTTCAAAACAGGAGAAATATATTAAGACAGCAGTCCACAACATAAAGGAAAAAAATCCCATTATAAGTTACCAATTACATACTATAGATCCTTCTATCTGAATAACTTAGTAACTTTCCAAAAAAGCCCACAAAAGTCAACTAAGATAAGAAATAGGAGACTTTGAGGCAAGTTACACACTCAGAATTCCTCTCTGCTTGGTAGGGTTGGATTCTTTTCCTATTGAAAAAAAACTATGTAGGGCGCCTGGGTGGCTCAGTTGGTTAAGCGACTGCCTTCGGCTCAGGTCATGATCCTGGAGTCCCGGGATCGAGTCCCACATCAGGCTCCCTGCTCGGTGGGGAGTCTGCTTCTCCCTCTGACCCTCCCTCTCATGCTCTCTGTCTCTCATTCTCTCTGTCTCAAATAAATAAATAAAATCTTTAAAAAAAAAAAAAAGAAAAGAAAAAAAATTTACATAGTTTTACATAGCATCAGACTCTTGCTGTTAAGAAACAATTTAGTTTAATTGGATTTGCACAACTGATTAAAGAGAAATGCTAAGACCCAAAGCATGTAATCTCTGCTCTACAGCCTCTAAAAGTAAATATCCTCATATATAGATAGAGGTATTAAGTAAATATTATACCCACCGTAGAGAAATCTCATAGGCACAGAATTTCCAAGAATCATTTAAGGATCTCACCGTGAACATGATCCTCCTACCGTATATTGAATGAGGTGGCATTCCCACCACAAAGCACCTCAATCCCAGTATTGTGTATATTGCAAATTAAACATTTTAAAATAAATTTTTCTTAATTCCTTTTCAGAAGAGTGGTCTTTGATCTGTTTTTTTTTTCTCATGTTTAGAATGATGCCAGTTTGTACTTTTTAAATTATTAAAAATTTTTTTCTTTTTAAAGACTTCATTTATTCATTTATTTGAGACAGAGAGAGTGCATGTGAGGGGGGTGGGAGGAGCAGAGAGAGAGGGACAAGCAGACTCCGCTAAGCGCAGAGCCGGATCCCAGGACACCGAGATCACGGTCTGAATGAAATCAAGAGTCCCTTGCTAACTGACTGAGTCACCGAGGCGCCCCTAATTTTTTTTTTTTTAAGATTTATTTTAGAGAGAGCATGTGCAGTAGAGAGGAGCAGAGGGAGAGAGAATCTCAAGCTGACTCTGCACTGAGTGAGGAGCCCGACTCTGCACTGAGTGAGGAGCCCGACTCAGGGCTCCATCTCATAACCCAGAAATCATGACCTGACCCAAAAACAAGAGCTGGAGGCTTAACCGACTGCACCACCCAGGTGCCCGCCCCCATTTATGCTTTTATCCCACTTTGCAAAAGGAACACCGGTATTGCTCTAGTCTACTATTCTCTATTGTATCGTTCCTCACACCACAATTTTGTCATTGGTACTCCAACGCAGCAAATTTACTCTCCTCCAGGAAATTCCTGAATTCATCAGAAAATTCTTTTTCTTTTCTACCCTTTTGGACCCAACAGTCTTGCTAGGTAAAGCTTCATGCTTTACTCTTGCTTCTCTTCTACGGGATCATGTTCCAGTGTTTTCCCATTTCTCATTGTTCTTATGTTCTCTACCTTTTTTACTCTTGATATGTAAACCAACATTCCTAACTTGCTTCCCATTCTTTCCTTATGCTTCTAAATTCTTATTTTCCCCCACAACTTTTCCCTAAGGACAGTCCCAGATCAGTTTCAGGAGGTTGATTTGGTCCTGGTTTTTCTTTCTTTCCCCCCCCCCAGATTTATTTATTTTAGAAAGGGGGGGGCATGGAGGGAGGGGCAGAGGGAGAGAATCCGAAGCTGACTCCCTGCTGAGCATGGAGCCCTACAAGGGGCTAGGCTGGGTTGATGGGGGTGTACATCTAACGACCTGAGCTGAAGCCAAGAGTGGGTCACTCAATGGTCTGAGCCACCCAGGAGCCCAGTCCTGTTCTTTCCCTCTGTATTTTTTTTTGAGATTTTATTTATTTGAGAGAGAGAGAGCACATGCCAGAGTGCTTGTGCACTAGCGGTGGGTATTTGAGAGAGAGCACGAGAGGGGTGAGGGTCAGAGGGAGAAGCAGACACCCTGCTGAGCAGGGCCCAATCCCAGGACCCTGGAATCATGACCTGAGCCAAAGGCAGACCCTTAACTGACTGAGCCACCCAGGTGCCCCTTTTCCCTCTGTATTCTTGCCCACTGGCAGAATTTCATTTACCTCCTTCTAGTTTTTTACCCTCACCCCATTTCTGATGTTCTAGTTTTCATTCCTTGCTCCTCCCATGAAAGGATCTGAAAATCTTTTATTCTTTTAGGTATTAATATTATCCCTTTCTTGGTGAGCACAAATGATAACTCTCTTCAGTGAGGAATTTATATTTTGATGAAAAATTATTTGAACCCAAACAGTGCATCTTTAAACTTGGAACTAAAGGATTTGGTGAAAGTATCTGTAGGCAGGAGCGCTTGGGTGGCTCAGTCAGTTAAGCATCTGCCTTCAGCTCACCTTTGGCTCAGGTCATGATCCTGGAGTCCCGGGATCAGAGCCCCAGGTCTTTGGGTTCCCAGCTCAGCGGGGAGTCTGCTTCTCCCTTTCTCTCCGCCCCTCCCCCTGCTCATGCTCTCTTGCTCATTCTCTCTCAAATAAATAAATAAAATCTTAAAAAAGAAGGTATCTTTAAGCAATTTTTGAGATTGAATGCCTTCTGGTACTTTGAAAGATAGCAGCTTCATCTGCCCACCCATGAGGTTTACTCCTGTTTTCTCGTCCAAAATTGAGCTGATCCTGCTCTGAGCCTAACTTTTTCCATACTGCATGCTTATGAAAATTCTCCTTTCTCCCTGAATGGGAAATTCAAGTGTGCACTATACTCTAAATATAGTTCCATGCACACTTTCTCTAAGTATTCTTTTGACTCACAGGCAGATGGTGCAAACCCCAGCTGGTCTCCCCACTTCTGGGCCTTGCTTTTGATGACATCAAGCGGTGGATGCTGCTAGCCACAGGCTCCTCCCTCCTCTGCCTCAGGGTGTTTGTGTCAAAGCAACTATGTTCCACCCAGGTAGAGGTGCAAACAACTTGCCACCTTTAAGGTTACCCTTCCTCTGGTACTGAAGCAGCTGTAAACCAGTGAAGAAAGAAATCTGAGAAGAAACAGAAGACAGAAGAGCACCAGAGAAGGGGAGTTAGCAGATGGGACAGTAATGGCAGGTTGGCATCAGGGCAGGGGACCAGGACACTGGAAGATGGGAATTCGCAGATCTGATGGGGAAAGGGAATTTGCAAAGTGTGGCCAAGAGGTCCCGAGAGACCTGGAACTTTACAGGGTAGAATGGGAAGACATCAGGAGCACAGCAGAAGAGAGGCAGGACTGTCCCCATAGTTTTGTCAACTCAGGGAGGTGGTTAAAAATACAACGCTCCAATCAACATTGAAATCCTGTATCATTTAGCATTTTCACTAACCAAACATCAGGGAAAGTGACTTATTGAGGTTCTCTGTGGTAGAGAAAGGAACATGTGGCCACAGTTTTTTTCTTTCTTTCTTTCTTTTTTTTTTTTCTAAAAACCAGTCAAGCAGAGCCAGAAGCAGTGGTCAGACAACAACTTCTGGGCAGAACCTAAGATGGAAAAAGCAAATGCTGTTTATATAAATAGAGGTGCAGAGCCCATAGCTTCCTGTTGACAAACTGAGCTTCACTTCACCTCAAACCCTCAATTTTTTTTTTTTAAATAGCCGATAAAGGTTTTTTTTTTCTTTCTTTCAATTTGTCCCATCACTTTAGGAAGGTTCTGGGTTTTTTCCTAACCCAGGGGGTCCTGCAGGTCTTTTCTCTATCTCAGCTAATTTTCTCCTTCCTCTCCCTTTTCCTTGCTTCTGCAGGTTTACCTACCATATGTGTAGCTTTGTGGGGTACATTATTAAATTTACATGATGAACCATGAGGACTGAATTCAGGATGGTCTTAAATTTGTGAGATTCGCCTCTTGCCTTAACCCGGAAAAAGAAGAACAGATGAACTTTGAGCAAATGCAAGCTAACAGTTAAATGGAAAATAACCTGAATGACACTTAAGGGATTGATGGGCATTGAGGTATCAACTGTGTCATTATACATTGTTTCCTAATATGTTGTTCTGTCCCTA